TATTAATAGTCAATTATTTCAAATAGAACTAAATAGTTTTGACAAACGATATACGAAACCTTTTCATTTTAATCGTTGTGTCCTCACCGTCACACATTACTGTGCGTGTAGAGTACCGAAATCAATGTGAAGATGTGATCAAAATAAAAAATGAACCAAATATACTTTTAATAGCTGCATATTCATCGGTTAAATGATTGATTTTATATTCAATATACGCATTTGATTATACTCTTCTTTTATATACGAACATATAAAGTTCAAGATCAGCTTAAAAATAAAAGAAGATTAACAAAAATTGTCTAATAAAACATGTAAGATTCAAAATAAAGTGTAATGTTAAACATTAAATATTTTGTTTACATACACAATAAAAGTTGATATTCTATAATATGTATTTAAATGTTCATGGTAATTAAAATTTATTAAATATGTGGTTTTTTTTTCTACATATGAAGAAAAATATTGACCTACCACACACCCATATATATATATATACTCTCTTTATTTTTTCTACTTTTGTATTCTCTCACGGACAAATATTTTCTAGATGCATATATTAAAGAACGCAAAAGACACTTTACCTATCTTCAACTTGACAACCATGGCTTTATATGTGTAGAAAAAAAAACAGAAAATGTAGTGCCGATAATGTGATTAACACGATATTCATCAAGCTGTTCAGAATGAATTCATAAATCAAACATGCCTAACTCGAAATGCTAATGAATAAAGGATCTCTGAACATGATGACTCTTTTCAATTAATGCTTTTCGTTTTTTCACTAAAGATTTATTTCAAAAAAAATACAAAACTATAAATAAAATTGCCTTGTCCTTTAATAAATTACTTTCAAGTCAAATGAAAGACATTATTCATCGTCTCGCTGGCGAGTCATCGAAAAGGATTTTATTTTTCTCTATAAGGATAATTGTCAACAAAAAAAAATAATAAGCACATAATACCTATTCAACTTTCCTGTTTTTCACAACTATTTAATGTGATCAATTGTCCAATTTCTCGAACTTTTTATGTATCCGTGCAATTAAAGTAACTGTGATATTACACGTTAGTATAACACTAACTTACCGATCGTATGCGAAATAAACGTATTGATGAATATGTACAAGCTGTACGTTTTATTTGTTATTTAGAAATATAAAATACAACGTATGAACGAACGAAAAACGACAATATGACCGTACCGTGACCCTTCTTGATAAAGGAAAGTAAAAACAGAGTAAAATTAATACTTATTCTGTTCAACCCGATCGAAAATGAAACAAGCGAAAAATTTTATCCTTTGCTTAAAAACATAAAACATATTTATCAAATAATACTAGTAAAATGTCCTTTAAGCTTTTATCTCTTATGCATAGAAATGAATGACACGAACAAATAATAAGTTAGAAGTCGAGGTTACTGTAGAGATAACGCGTATAGTGATTGAAAGTTTTAATATTCATTTTTTCTATTGAAAGCAAAATTAAGCGAATGAATATATATGTAATGAAAATAATGTTTGATCTTTATTTTTTGGAAAGAAAAAAATTTTTTTTAAATTTGTCAGATTTTGGTAGAAAACAAAGAAAATGATTGAGATAACAAAAGAAACTAAATATTTAATTGATATCTTTAATATTTTTATAAATTAAAACTAATTATATTATTATTCAAAGTTGTCTTTTCAATCTGTCTATCAGATTCTATGTTTGATTTAAAAAAATGAACACTTTAATAATTAGTATGAAATCAATTTTCATTTTTTCGTTATTTTTTAATCAATATTGTATATTTAATATTCAGCGATGATTGATATTATAAGATATTCATTGAAACAAATCATTGCTACAAATTTCTTCTAAATACAATATCATTTAATCAAGCAACTAGTTCCACATACAGATATTTCTTTTTAGTCAAACAATAAATAAATTTTATTTAATTCAGGTTGTTATAAGCGATGCTCATTAAGTTGTACAATTTATATTTTTGAAAATAATTTTTTCAATCAATGTAGCATTAATTTTATTCGTTTTTAACCATTTGTTTCTCACTAATCTATATATATATATATATATGTTTGTTTCGTACAGTATTTGTATTCCAATGAATTGTATAATAAAAAGACGCGTGTATCAAAACACAATTGACTCATGCCAGAGGAATGATTGTTACAAATATTATTCAACTACATTGTTAAAATATCAAGTGTTTACTATGAAAACAACAAATGAAGATGTAATACATGAATATGTGCAGAAAGCCAGTTGTTAGCATTTTTGGACAAGAAAAATCACTTTCTACCTATATACCATCGATCTGATAATTGAAAAAAAATTGTGAAAAAGTCAGACTGATTATTTATTAACAGACTTTCAATTTAAATCTTCATATGTTTCAAAAATAGGATTGCAGCAAATCATACTAAACTCGGCAATATTTTGTCAATGATTTATTTCCATTTTCAGATTAAAAATGACTTCATTGTTTTTTTCTTTCATCATGTATCTTTTTTTTTTAAACTAATATATCTATAACAGAGATGTTCATTGCGATTGAAAACTTGCTGCTGCTATACCACAACGATAGAAAACAAAAGTTATCACGCCCTTGTCGCCATCTTATTCACAAAAATGTTTCGAATTTCATTGCTGTGATTACATTGTACTAAAACACTTGTTACTAATATTAACGCAGTCAATCGGAAATGTGTTTAAGATAGTAATCAAGTAACTACTTTTAATAGGATATGTTATAAACAATCGAGAATATTCGATTATATATTTTTATAGCAACATTCATGAAATCCACATATTCTAATTTTACGACGAAATGTCTTCAAAATATATGTTTTTTTTTAAAACAAACTTTATTTAACGTATAAGTCAGATTAAATTCTCGACTTTTATCAACTATATTCTGCTCAACTGTCTAGTTTTATTTTCAAAATAAAATATAATATGTTGAATAGATTAAATAAAGGTCTACATTTTGATAAAGAACGTTAATTTCAAATAAGGTCTTTTATGTTGAAAAATTTCGAACATATGGACATGCTTACAAATTCATCCTAATCTTTTGTATCTCAGTAAGACAATTCTTAGCGAGTAGAATAGAGTTTTTAACACATTACATTTTGATGTAGAGTTTAATCTTATTTTCACAACGAAGTAATCGCATATAACAACTAGAACTCTACATTTTTGTATAAAAAATTAATCTTATATAAATACTTTTATGCCTAGAAATTTTTAAAATATGATATGCTCAAACATTGATACAACTCGTTACTTTATTTTTTGTACACGTTTCATGCATTTGTCAATATCCTACTGTGAAAGACTAAAACATAATATGTAATTGATACAAACATATTAACTGATTAATGTGATGTTTCTCTTCAATGTTTTTATTGATATAAGTTCCAAAGATCGAATTTCATAAACAGAAATTTTAAAAAAACACCTAAGATTTTTCTGATCGTTTTAGAAGCGAACAAAGTAATGTTTTGAATGTATCATATTTTCGAAATTTCTCAACACAATAGAGTCCATTTTAGATACGCTATCTTTAACAGAATGTAGAACTTTATTTAACCTATTGAATGCTGTATTTAAGTTTGAAAACAAAATTAGATCATTGGACAGAATATAGTTGATAAAGATGGACAGTATCATATCATTCAATGGTTGAAATTGAATGAAAAAATAGAAAAATATTTATAGAAAATATTTGGACGATTAGATATATACAATCTTCTTCTTACTCTTTATCTGAGTAATTTTCATTTTCAGTGAATTTTTTTTCTCGTCGACTTCAATATCACCGAATGAATTCATAATCGAAAACGAGTTTTAATCAAATATAATCGACTCTATATATAACGTTTTATTATAATTAACTAGTTCATTATCAAATTGATCAATTACCAAATAGAATAAAGCTGTTGCGTAGATACTCGCTCTCATTCTTTGTTCAATCTAGTTTTTATTGTTTAAAGCTTGAACATTTTTTTCCTCGTACTTGTTTCGTTAAAATTGCCTATACACTTCAGTTAGTCATACGTCAACAAATTTATCGCTTCTCAAGACTTATGAAACATCTAAAACGATAAGAATAAAAAATAGATTGGAATACAACGACATCTAAGATGTAGTGTTGGCACAATAGATGTCATCTTAATAGTTTAATAATACTTTCCATTTTAATAATAATCTATAAAAATTACTTATTAAATTTTTTTTAAATTGTATTTTTGTTATTAATATGTTTATTTGAAAAACTGTTTTAAAATTCCCGAGGTACTTTTATAAAATCTTATTGGTCAATATGATATAGTCAATCAAAATAAACTAAAAGAATTTAATAAACAAAGACTTATCATTAGACGGTCATTTTCTTTACTTTTACATATCGCTATAAAACCTATCATAAACCGGTATTATTTTTTGTTTTATTAAACGATGTCTTCAAATGAAAAACAAACTTCAAATAATGATGATGATTCAACTGAAGCAATGTATAAAAAAAGTTTTGTTTTGTTTTGTTTTGTTTTCTTTATTTTGATTTCGTTATACGTAGAGAACAAAAAAAATTTCAATCTCGTCCTGAAACATATAATGGTGCTGATCGTGATCTTTATTGTTGGACACAAACTATTAGTGATATTGATGTTCGAGTTAAAGTAAAATTCATTATTATAAAATAAAGAATTCTATATTATATAAATAATTATTCATCTAGATTCCAAAACATATAAAAAAAGGTAAACAAATCAAAGTTAATCTAACAAAACAACATATAAAAATTGATTTAATTGAATCAAATGAAATAAAAACAATAATTGATAGTGATTTACCATGGACAATACGAGCTGAAGATTCAACATGGAGTTTAGTACCTGGTGAACATATTCATGTAAATAAATAGAATTATTATTTGAATATATACCCTCGAAAAGCAAAAGTTAGCCACCTTATTTTGAGTATATCGTTACTATAATATCATATTTTTAAAATAATAATACCGTATTCGGAAAGCGCGTAAAATTCTCTATTACCATGTATATTTGTATTTTGGTTTTCACTTTTGAATGATCAACATAAATTGAATATAATGAAGATACACTGATGTCCAGATTCCCACAGACATGATTTTGTCATTATAATCAAATAAAGTTTTTTAGATTTTGCATCACCGTAGAATGTTTGTTTTGAAAGAGTAATTATATATTCTG